TTGTATGTATGTATGTATGTGTATGTGTGTGTGTGTGTGTGTGTGTGTGTGTGTATGTGTGTGTGTGTGTATGTGTGTGTGTGTGTGTATGTATGTGTATGTGTGTGTGTGTTTGTTTGTTTGTTTGTTTGTGTGTGTTTGTTTGTTTATGTATGTGTTTGTATGTATGTGTATGTATGCGTGTGTGTGTGTGTGTGTGTGTGTATGTGTGTGTGTGTATGTGTGTGTGTGTAATGTTTGTGTGTGTAATATTGTATTCAGTAGTGTATATCTAGTGGTCGGTCAGTCAATCACACAATCAGCATATCTCTCAAGATTTCATCTCAAAACTCCTAAATCTCTTTCACGATTCTCAGTACACATCCATTACCAGTGATTTCCAGCAAAAAATATATATATTATATAAAATAGTATTTTCGTACAAAATATGTGACGAGAATTTTGGTTTACAAAAAGTCGTGAATTTAAACCTCTTTATAATAAAAAAAAATTCTTATAACGAAATAAATTTTCTAAAAATTATTTTTTCTTTTGTTTAGTTTTACATTTAAACTATAAGCTATTCATTGCTAAATAAACATTGTTTTATGTCTTTTATGTTTGTATAGAAATATCGTATTATAAAAGTTTTCATTATTTTGTTTTTAATGCTATTACAGTATATACATTTATATAAAATTTATATGTTTAAAAAATAATAACAAAAAACTAAAAATTTATTGAGTTTTACATAATTTCTATATTAAAGAAAAATTGTTTTAATAAAATTCGTATTATAAAAATAAAGAATATTTTATGATTTAAATATTTTTTAATATAACAATTCTATAAAATATATTTTCTAATATTTTTTCAATATATTTCATGTAAAGCTAAAGTAAATGGTTTTATTTATGTATCATATGTGGTTTATTTCAAATTGCCATAAAATTAAATATGTTTTTTAAACATTTTTAAAACGGTCATAATAATTTATAATGTCATTTATATAAAAATTTTTAATATATTTCTATCAAAAGAGCACAACACATGTACACAATTTAGTAGCGTTTATACTGTATTACTATTATATAACTAATTCAAGTAAATAAATGACAAAATTATATACTATTTTCATAATAACAGCATAAATGATGGTTAATATAAAATATGAGAAAAACTTTGAGAGACATTAATCAGAGTCGCAGACAAAAATAAAAGTCTAATTTTGTGTAGCAATAAGTGCTCACACTTTTGATTTATAGCACCTGACATAACATCACACACTCACTCACTCACACACACACACACACACACACACACACACACACACACACACACACACACACACACACACACACACACACACACACACACACACATACATACATACATACACACACACACAACAACAAAAAACAATTCAAATTACCAGTCAATTCCCAACCATTACATACCAGAAATATTAAGGGCAGACATATGAAAAAAAGCAGAAATTAAGGGTATTATTGTTTTTTTTGGATTCAATATCATAATAACAAGGGAGAGACCAAAAACCAGTTAATAGACATACAGATACAGACATTAGAATATATGACATTAGGAAGCAAAAGAGGAACGGTATGTCTGGCAGTTAAAGCACAGGAAGACAAAAGTGTTCACATAAGAGACAAAACGTGCAAAAAAGAAAGCAAAAGATATTTCTGTACCGTTTCTATAGTTTAACTCAAAAACGATAGATATTATTAAGTATTAAATGGGACCCAAATGTGTGGCACTGATTCACATACGCACGCATTATAGCGTGAGTTAAATGCATTGCTAAACAACCTAACGGTGTATATAAATATATTTATAATACTAAGCTTATGTGAAACACCCGTTTTTTAGATGTCGATCCCTCCGTAAAATCCGGACTTTCAATATCCGCGTTAAAATCAATTTTATATTAAAGAAATATACATTATTTATTATAATACAATTGATAAAGCAATTTAAAACTAAGAGATTTTTAAATATATATATAATTAGTCAGTAATTATGTATGCAAAACAAATTTGCTTAAAAAACTTTATTAAGCTTATTAAAAATTGTCTAAATTTTATTTAAGCGTAGATGATAGTAAAACACTTAAAAATATATGTTGAACAATATTTTACATTTTTAATACAATAATATAAATGATATTTTTCTCAATGCTTGTCCTAAACGCTTAAACGTTATTAAAAGTATTTATATGTCATGTATTTTGTAAATCACATGCAATATAATGTATTTCTCAATGAAAGAGAGAGAGAGAGAAAAAAAAGTCGTCTTATGTTTTAAATGTTTAGAGCAAACAGTAGTAAAGAAGAAATGCATTTATCTGAAACATAAAACATTGAAAGAAAAATAAAAATAAAACCATTAATACTTTTGAAGAAAACATTAATTCAAATATATTTTGACAGATATATCAAGGATTCAAATCAATTGTGAATTTAGATAAGCCTTAAATTGTTTTATGATATGAGACTCAAAGGCAGAGAAAAACATCAAACATTGAAAAGAGAGAGAGAAAAGAGAAAAGCTTTAAATTATAGCCTCAAATGGTTTTATCATAGCATCGAAAAAATAGCAAATAAAACAATAGCTTTTATATTTATACATAGATATCATATATATTTAATATATACGGTAAATGCAAACAAAGATATATACGGTATATATATATTGATTATATAACTTCTATTTTGCACATAACTATCATATATATAGATATATAGTATATATATATATTTTCATAATTATTGATTTTATACATTTGAATATATATTACTGTTACATAAATATATATATAAATTTTACATTTTAAAATAAAATTATTATACTTATTTAGCAAAAGTTTCATTCAATTAATTCTCATAAAATAAGATGAAATCAAATAGTCTGCAATATTTTATTTTTGTTGTTTTATTAAATTTCCTAAAATTTAGTCATCAATTACTGTATATAAATAACATCATTACAATTGTAATACAAATAATAAAAATCTAAAAAATCGTTATATAAAAATTTCTTTACATTTTTTATATTTATATAACTTTACGGCATTTCTTTATTTTAATAATACCGGAGGGAAACCCCTGAAAACTTATTGCGATATCATTTCATCCTAAAAATGTATGTTTCATCTCCTTATTCATTGTCAGCCCTCTCGACAAAATACAAGAGTTAATGAGATCTTAACTTTTATTTTTGAGTTTTATTTTTTTTTGTTGAGAGATTTTCTTTTTAAAATAGTTGTCTTACAATTTACTTCACTAAACTAAATGTCATAAAATAAAAATATTAAACAAGAGAGAGAGAGAGAGAGAGAGAGAGAGAGAGAGAGAGAGAGAGAGAGAGAGAGAGAGAGAGAGAGAGGAGAGAGAGAGAGAGGAGAGAGAGAGATAAAGTTTAAATAAAACTTTCACATAAAGTATTAAAAGTTAAATCTATTTCATTTTTATAAATAAAAATTGTATATACACTATGAACACTCTTTTATGGTGAGTCAAAAAATTGTCTCTCAATTGTAGATATTGCTGAAAATAGTGGGCTTTTTAAAAATTTAATCATAAAAATCTTATCTGAAAAAACAAAATATTGATGAAAATTTTACCTCAAATAAAATCTATTGTTTAATATTGTATAATATTATAGATAAAAGAGTGAACTTTAATTTTCTATATTAATAGATATGGTTTTATATTGAAAATGATTTTCTCTTTTAAATCATCAAATTTTAGGTAAAAACGTAAGGATTAAATGATAAATTTTTTATTAATCATTTCTCATTAAATTTGTTATTAATTCATTCATCACATAAAATATTACAGTAAATGTTTTTATATCTAAATTTTAACTAACAGTAATTAATAAAATGACAAATATTATTTAATAAACCAATAGTTTAGATATTAAAAATATTAATATAGAAAAATTGTACTTTTAATAGTCTATAAATCACTTAAAATTTATATCTAATTTGATGACTCATTAAAGTCAAATTCAATGTTATAACTATTTTTATGTAACTAATAAGTTATATACCATATATAATACAAATCTCAAGATTTTATTTATTAAGTTTATAGTTATTATATATATAATTATATATAATGTATTGTGTGTGTGTGTGTGTGTGTGTGTGTGTGTGTATGCTTTGGACGTTTATTACAAAATAAAAAATTTCCGCTAAAATTGACAATAAAGTCACATTTTTTGTTGGCATCAAAACGTATTTTCAGTATTTATAAATAGAGCATAAAATTGGTCATCAAATATATACTGTAGAATATATATTATATATATACCATATATACCAACCAACTGTGTATATACTATATATTTAGTATACTGAGTATAAATTTATACTTATATAATCATTACAAAATAACAATCATTGTTACCGTAATACAAAACAAATGCCATAATGAAATCATTATAATTTAAAACAATAAAAATATAAGTATACATAATTATCAAAAAAAAAATTATTACCAGTTATTATATTAATAAATAGTAATAAATATTAATTACATTTATAATTTAAACAAATTCGTTATTACAAAATTTATATATAGCAGAAATCATAAATAAATTCACATTTCTTTATATAATTATAAAGTAATAACTTTATCATTAAATAATAATTATCAATAAAAAAAACAATTCAAATCAATAAATTTTTATCACTTATACATCTAACAAAAAATATGTTTTGTCAAACAATTAATAGTAAAACAGTAAACATTAAATAATTAGTTACAAAAATACAGATTCAAATATAAATATTTATACAGTACTGTATAATGTATATTAATATTATCATAATTCATATTGAGATTTCGTTAATTGGATTGACATCATATCATTAATTTTAACAATAAATAAGTATAGATTTAATAGAAAATAATTATTTTTATAAATTCTAAAATTTTACAATTAATACCATTGATTATATTATCAATAATTAAAAATATAAATGCATTTTCCTAACTATTTGTCATCAAAATGTTTGTCAATGTTTTTAATGAGATTATCAAAAGTAGTATCAATTATTTGATTGACGTCATGAATGAAATCCATGTCCTCATAGATATATGAGTTTCGACGACTTAAATGGGAAGTAATTTCATTGTTCACCACTGAGTAGTCCATTGAATTGATCTCTTCATTATTGACACATTCATCAATGTATTGAAAAGAAAATCCATTCAATGACTCATTTCGATGGTCGGCGTAATCCAGTGTTTCGATGTCACCAACAATTCTGGGATCACTTTCCGATTTTCTCTTTGACCGTAACTTCACATCCGTTTTACTGTTGGTCTTCAGTGACTCAGTATTGTTACTCATATCGAGTATATCGAAAGCAAAACCTTCTTTAAAAATAGCATAAAATTAAGACAATATAAGTAAAATCAAAAAACTAATGAACCATTTATTTGATTGTCATCGCCATCACAGCCATAATTGTAGCGTTCATTTCGTTTCTTTTCCTTATATTTATCGCACTTCTTGAACACTTCTTTGTCGTCATTTATAATGAATATTTTTGGAGCATTTCGTGATAAACCTATTATTATTTTTTATTATAAGTCTCTACAATCCATAAACACATTACCGTAAGACCATAACATACCTCCGCTCTTACGAGAATTAATGGTAGACTTTTTTGAGTCAAACAATCTTCTCAGACCAGATAGTATTGAATCGGAACCGATGTTAGTATCGATTGAAATCCCTTCTTCGCAAGCATTATACGCCAATCCATTGCAATCGATGTCCACTTTGGTATCAATTGTCTGTTGATTGGGTATTACTGTCCTCTTCAGTTTCCACCTCTCTGTTTGTCAAATGATTTGTCAAATTAATTACTTAATCATATGCTAACCAATCATTTTTTTGAAGACTTACTTGACTTTTGACGTATAAATCGATTATCATTGTCCAGACCATTGTCCGCACCACTCAGTGATACATTAATTGGTCCATCAAATGACCCGACAGTACCTTTCGTTTCGTGAATCGATTGGGATTTGTCTTTGATTTGTGTATTCACTTCTTTGTCTGAAAAACAAATCAAATAGTCATTACTGTTAATACTATCACACAATGTAATCATAATAATTCAATCAGTGTTGTGGATCAACTACAAGACATACTGTTTTTGTGGACACGTTTTCGGCAAATACAGTAAATTATTATTATTATTATCACTGATAACACTAATAACAGTATTAACAGAAATATTTCTTTCAAATCCATGACATTATATATGATCACCACTAGTAGGTCACCGACGATGACATCAATTGATGTCAAATCAAAGCCAAAAAAAGTCAACGATTCAGACAATGGTTTCAATTAAACATTCATTCAATYAATCAATCAATGAATGACTCAAACATACAAATCGTTTAACAATTTCATCAAAAAGTTTATCAATTCATTCATAAAACGGAAAGTTTATGAAAATAACTTTTCATAAACACTATTACGAAATATTTTATAAAAAATTTTAATTATTAAAGTTTTCATTGATATTATTATATTAATTTTAATTTAAAATTTAGTCAAAATTATCAAATCTATGTTTATTATCTATTATTGAAGTTCACTCAATGATGTAAATTTTATTTTATTTATTATTATCATTATTAAAATGTGTTATAAGTGTTATAAAAATAGTTTATTGAAAAATTATAAGAAATTTCCATTAAATATGACTATATATTGTATATTAATATAGTACAGTAAACATTTCGATTTATGCAGTATAGGAAAGCACTGTTTATACTATGCTTATATGAAATCCACTAAAAGTTCATTAAAATAAACAAATTTATTAAGTATTAAAAATATTATTTTCAAATTAACTCTAATATTATACTAATCTTTAATTTATCAATTATATTAATATTCTATCAATTATAAAGATTATTTTAAGAAATAACAAACATTAAAAATAATAATAACTATAATCACTAATTAATTAATAAGGTTGTGTATCGTAATCAGGAAATAAAAATCAAATTAAATATAAATAACTAAATATAAATAATAACTAAATATAAATAATAACTAAATTTTAATAATAACTAAATTTTAATAATAACTAAATTTTAATAATAGCTAAATATGTCTGAATTCTATCAACTAATTTTTTAACCAAATTATTCAATTTATTCAAATTAAAAAATAAAAATAATGTATAATTAGAAATAATTAAAATAGTAATATTTTTGTTATAATTAATAAATGAAATAATTTTATACTTTATTAATTTTTAGATTGCTACAAGTATTTAAAAATATTCGTTTATTAATATTTCATAAAAATATAATCATTACATACATTAACAAATACAAAGACAAAATTATTTATTTTATTTAGTAATTTTTCATATTAATTGTTTAAACTTCAAAAATTTAAAACTAATGTTATTATAAACTAATATCTTATAAATAATTTAACAAAATTTAACAAAATTTAACTAAAATTACAATATTTAAATTAAAAATAACTTAAATTATTAAAATTAATGTCTATAAATTTAATTATATTATAAGCATTAATGTGATAAAAGTAGTTAAAAAATACTACTTTTTAATTTAATTTTATTAATTAAATTATTTTTATAATCTAGTTTTTAATGATTTCATAACTATTATTTGATGCATTTTTATAATTACACAGTAACTAAAATACATTACCTATAAATAAAAATTAAAATGTTTTAAATAATTAGATCACATTTTTCAGTCAAATTTAAATTTAATATTTTAGTTAGAAAAGAATTATTTAAAATAATACTTAAAACAGATTTCAAAACAAATAACAAAATAAATAATAAGTATTAATAATTTGACAGAATGTTTATTAATTATTAATAATAAAGCTACATTAAATTTCCTTATAACGTTACACCAACCGTCAATTTTTTGTTAACTTTTAATTGCATTAAATTATCAGAAAATTAAATATTTAAGACACTTTAATATTTATTTATTATATGGTGTAATAATAATTTAATTTTTGAAACAAATTAAGTTAATTAATTAATTTATATATTACTGTATTAGTTGTTAGTTTTTATTGTACCCACTCCTATACTGCATAAAAAGAAATGTTTACTGTATATTAAATATACTATTTATAAATCATATACATTACAACAATTTATAATAATTATATATTTAACTACTTCTAGATGTTATAGAAATTGTATATATTATAGAAAAATTTAAATTATACATTAAATCATATATTAATTCAAATATTAATACATTATTAAAATAAATTAATTGAAAAAATTGATTTATGATTTTAAGATATTTTGAATATGAAAGTGCAATCCCACACACTTTCACTCGTGTCTTACACGTGCACAATAGCGTACACTCTTTGGGGTTTCTTTACTATTATAAATAATAATAATAAATTACTTTCAAATTTAAAAATAGATTTAATTTATTACTGTATCTTTTGATTGGTGCCAATGGATCCGTTTGTACGGCAATATCAATCATTTCCATCAATTTCTTATCATTGACATTGATGTCCACTTTTTTAGTAATAAATAAAACAAATAAATTAATAAACAAATTATAGAAACTTTTTTCTAATGAAAATTATAATAATTGAAATAATCTTTTTATTACCTGAAATGGACGGACTATTTATCACATCATTGTAATAATTAGATGATTTGAATGTCTTTAACTCAATGCCATCACATGTATCGCAAACTATTAATAAACATAATTAGTAATTAACACAATAATCGTTATTTAATTTTGATATTATTTCAGAAAAAATTATAATTAATTAAAAACATTAACTAAATTAAAAATGTAAACTAATTTTTTTGAATGTCAATTGTTTAGTCATACTTTCTCTAATATAACAGTTTCGGCCAAATCTAGCAATTAAACCAAATATTATAATTATGATAATATATATACAGATAATCACTGAATATACATAATTCTGTACAAAATCTTTACTATTATTATTGTCATTCATAGTCTTTACAATTTTTACTCACTTAAAAAACTACTGTATATTAGTTAGCTATTTATAAAATGAGTATTATTTTAATAATTAATTTAATTAATTAACAAAATAAACAATAGACATTGCTACTTTACTAAGCTAGTAATCAACTTAATAATATAATTAAAATAATATTAAGTGTTAAGTTTTAGTTGAGTAAATATAAAATAATTTTTCATATTACAAGTTAGTTGAAAATGTTTTTATTTTAAAAATAAATTTATTTTTAAATTGATAACAATAAATTAATTGTGAATAATCTAYATACACTCAAATACTTTTGTATTATTTTGATCATTACAATCAACACTATATCCTAATTATATGATTGATATCAGGTTTAAGCAAGGTTTTGGATTTTAGAGGGGGGGGGTAGGGTGGGGAGAAATTTACAAAATTCTCGAAAAATCTTGGAATTAAAAATTAAAAATTATTAATAAAACTTTATATTATAAGTATTTATTGTTTTACTAACTTTATTTATTTTAAACTTCCATTTAAATTGTATTATGATTACTGTCTTTTGACAAATAGGTAATTTTTAATTTTTTAGTTGAATATTTTAATTTTTAAAATGTTATTTTTAGATGAGTTTTAACGTGCTTTTATAACTATTTTACTTATTTTTAATTAATAATTATTTATATAAATTTTAAAAACATAATAACATTTACTAAAATAGTATCAATTAAAATTAAAATTTTCATAAACTGCAAAAAAAAATTCGGCGGCGAAATCAATTTGGTCAAAAAAGTCTGGGGACAAAATCCCAAAATCTCGATCTTATGGGTTATTTTGGCTTTAGCCCTAACCCCCCCCCTTACTTAACCCTGGATTGATATATAATGAAATTATTTTTAAAAATCAATATTATATATAATATTAGTTTTTGAATTTATTAGATATACTTAGTGAGTGACAAAAGTTAACAATCATTTTGGTTATCCATAAAATAACTGCAATTAAAATAACACAAAATATTATTTTATTGATTTCCATATTAAACAAAACTAAATATTAAATCACAACTTTATTAAATCAAATTCATAAACAATAACATTATATTAAGCAAATGATTATTATAATTGATAATTATTTTTGCATAAAAACATTTTGTACATACAATATAAATATAGTTACAATAAAATTATTCAAATTAATCAATTTTGAACTTGATCAAAAATTATTAATAGTTTAACTTTAAGTTTTAGAATAAAATTATTTAAACCTTTTTTWAAAAAWTTTTATTAATTATTATTAAATATATTAATTTTATATCTATATTTAATTATATCCAAATAAATTAGATATATGATTTATACTAATTTGATTAAATTAAAATTTTTAATTAATAAAACGATTATCTTCTAAATATAAAAACTAATACGAAATGTGTTAATACTATACCATTAAATTAATATCAGTAAAAAGTTCTTATAAAAAATACAATTTTTTAAATATAAAGATTATATAATAGAATTTATATTAATATTCAATTAAATAATCAATATTTAAAATATTTTATATACATATATATACCAATATAATGTATCAAAAAATGCATTTAAAATCTTAAACAATATTATTAAATTACTAATAATGAATTAATAACTTACATATTTTTATCATTTGTAATAATTATGTTATATAATACGGTATATAATGTAATAACTTAATATTCCAATTGCTCGGTGGCCGAAATGGCTAAGGCATCGACTAAATGCCTAAAATACAATTTGGTTTAAATCCCTGATTGGCAACAGTTATCTGTTGTTATGTTGTTTGTACCCAATCTATGCGTTGAAATGACAATTCAAAAAACAAGTAACGACTAGTTTGGGTATAGAGAATCGTTTCCTTACAATAAACTTAGTGTTAGTCATAATGTCATAAATCTATAGTATAGACCAGTGATTAACTTTATAAATAGGAATTTTTTAGCTATTATTATAATTTATGAAAAGTATCATTATTAAAGTAATCACACGTATAGTCTAGTACAAATTAAATAAATATTTTATCTAAGTCATAGTTTAGTTATTATTTATTGTAATGTATTTTTAAAAACTTTTACCGGTAAACTAAATAAAAATTATTATGTTATCTATGAATAATTATTTTATTTATTATAATTTTGAACATCAATAATGTTATAATATTATAATCATCTTAAAGTTATCAAAAAGTTATTTTAACTTTTTTACTTATTTTTAATCAGTAATTAGATTCATATAAATTTTAAAAACAAAAACATTCAAATAGTTTATATGTATATGTAAACTTGTATACAAAATTTTTTGTGTGTTATTAGTTATTTTAAAATATTTTAATCTATTAAGTAAACATAGACATTTGAGTCCCTATGCCTGGGTATAGACAATAATACAAACCAGTTGAGAATGCTTCAAAAGCATTTCCATACGAACTCCTTAACTTAAGAAAGAAAAAAATTCAAAAAAATGTGTAACAGATCGTGGATTCGAACACATGTCCTCATGGGACAGACAGACAGACTTTTAGAATGCATATACGCACTCCTTTCAGGAGTTCGTGAAAAGTACAGTATATGGTCTCATAAAAGTCATACAGTAATGTGATATGCACTTTGAATCAGGATCATTTTTAATAACTTAATAGACTATATAATCAGCAAATATTAAATAATTATATATATATATATATATATCAATACCAATAGTAAAGCTACAGTAGTTATACAAAATATATCATATATACTGTATATATCAGTTGAAATGTCATTTAATCAGTCATTAATAAAATAGATAATAACCAATATTTATATAGATATAGAGTATAATATTTAGCAATTACTTTACATTCAGGTATATAACTATAAATAGTTTCATAAAATGATGTTATAAATGATAAGTTATAAACAGATATTTAGGTTAATGAATATATCATACATATTATCACTTAAAATGGCATTTTTAGTGTCCACTAATTATTAACAAATAATATGCAATATTAATGTAATAATTTTAATGTTATTCAAAGTTATATTCAAATTAATTAAAATATATATAAATACTTGTAAACTATATATTTAGTAGTATAATATACAATAAATAAAATTTATATGAAAATGTTAATTAAAATAATATTTTTGATGTAAATTATATGAAACATTTAATATTTTTGATGATATATAAATTTTAATTAAATTCATAGTATAATTATTTGACATTTGACAATGTATTATGTTGTTTTAAAAAACGTAAATTAATTATTTAAARTATATATAAATTATTAAATAACATTATTATTTTTTAAAAATCATTATCAATTTTAATACTATTTAACTTACGCAATAAATTAATAAATTAATTATATAGTTAAATAAAATAACTAAAAGAAAACACTAATTATTTATTAAATAATCATGAGATAGAAATTTTATATTATAATTAAATTTATTAGATTAAAGATTAGATATTAAAATATAAGACATTGGGATCAATTGAATCAAATACTAATACAATAACAAAGATAAGTATATACAGTGCAATCTCACAACAATTATTATATACTTAATATTAATTTGATTGATTAGACTCCATAAAAGTATGTCATTCAAGTTAATCATCTATAATAGCAATATATTATTATTATTTGTTATTAACAAAATTATGTTTATATTTACTAATAGGAACATAATGTATCAATTGATAGTTTATGAGCAACAAATATATCTAATTATATATATAAATCAATTAAAATAAATAATTATCATTTAATTATCCCAAATATACCCAACTATCACTAACACAAACACAACCCGCCCACCACTTCCTAATCCACCCCCACTACGGAAACCTAATTTTAAACAAAGTAATAAAATACAGTAAATGCAATATTTTTTTACGTAAAAATAAATATTATTTCAAATTAAACGTGGATTTAAATATTAATGCAATAAAAAATTATTTTAATTATAATTTGTTACTAACTTTCAACTTTTTCATCCATTAAAGTCTAAAACAGCATATTCAATTATTAAATAATCCCCAAACAAATGTGCTAGGTTTATTATTTTAAACAATATAAAAATATATTTATAAGAAATTGTAATTTATAAATTTAATTAGTACATTGATGAAAGTTTATTTTGATATAAATATATATAAAATTTTATCATATTGATAATATAAACTGAAAATTAGATATCAAAATTTATCATGGTCAGCTAATAATTCTAATTCAAATACAATATAAATTTAGTCTAAGTTTAAAATAATTGAAATAGTTGTCTATTTTGTAATGAAATTTTTTATTAATTTGTTTTTATCCAATGAAATAAAAAATGTTATTTTAGCTATAGATTATAAACTTTTTTATTTTAATTTAAATAATAATATTTATGTTATTTAGTAAAAATACTTCTAGCATTAAATCTAAATAAGTAAAACTAAATAAATAAATATTTTATTGATTATAACATATAGATTACAAAATATAAATAATTAAATTTAATTGATTGTTAAATATATAGTAATATATGCAAAACTATCTTAACTATCAACTTGTAATAATAAAACAGTAATAAATATATTTTATTTTAGGGTTAACCTATTAATAAAGATAGACAAATAATAATAATACAAAACAAATTAAAATTAATTAAATTACATCAATTTTTCATAATATAAATTCATAAATAGTAAATGTCATACTCAAATTAATAACTTAAATACATTTATTAAATTTAAAATAGAAAATATATATATATATATATATATATATATATATATAACAATGCCTTTAAAAACTAGTAATAAATCTAAGAGAATTTAACAGCAACCAAAAAATAAAATTTTACATAATTGTTACGCAATTTATATTTTATAATTATTTGTATTATTTATTATTTTAATACAATTGTAAATGTTGTACGCATGGTATGTACAACATATATATTTTTATTATTGTATATTTTATTATAAAAGTAATTGTAATATTATGACATATTGTCATTAGTATGGGTTTCAATGTTTTAATCAGTTAATAGAGTTTTTATTTAATTGTAATTTAAGATTTGTTATTGTTATTAATAAATAATTGTTATTTTTGGGGAAATATTTTGTTTATTTTATTAATATTAATTAATGTTTTTAAGAATATTTTTATAGATCTAGAGATATGGCAAGAAACCGTGTTTTTTGTAACATAATTTTAAAGCAATTAACAATAAAATAAAAGTTATTAAATTATTTTTTTAAATTTTATTACTATTATCTATTTATGGATTTATTTATCAAACAAAACTATTAATTGAAAACTATTTGAGCGGAAGGACAATAGTGAGCACTGAATTTGGTAGACTTAAAGTCAGTAAAATACCGGGAATTACATTATGTTTCAAATCAATTATGTCAGTGGAAAACACGGGTCTCTATTACTCGACGGATCCATTTTATAACAATACATATCATCAATATATGGATCTAATTAGTAAAGTTAAAAATGACAAAAATAACAAAAATAACAATCGTTTAATGGATCAATTAAAGTCTATTTACACTCAAATGTGGAACAAATTGAAGTCTAAAAGACCTACAATTTATGAACTCTTTGAAAATATAACATTAAATGTGAGAAAATCACATGAAATACAGGTATCAGTCGTAACAATCAATAGTAATTTAAGTGAAGAAATATTGATAGATTCGCAACCATTTGAATCCATGTCATCCACGCCAACACTCTTTAAATGTTTCACTTATTTTAGTGATTTAAACCCAAAATGGCGTAATTTTGAGACAGAAATAGACCATATTTTACTTATATATAAACCACATAATAAATGGTATCCAAACCATAGAGACTATCGAGAATTATCTGTAAGTATTCACTCACCAAACCTAATACCTCAGATCACATCTGAATATTTTATAACAACTCAGTTGCCATCAAAAGTTATTATCACTTATAATGAAATACAAAAACATCTTTTACCACCTTTTTATGAAACCAATTGTATTGACTATAGACTGAATACCGATAGTTATGATAAACTTAGAGGAGATTTTGTAACACAATGTTTGGATCAATGTTATAGAGATCGGTGTCGAGAGTTAAACAAATTAGATAAAAATAATAGGTTTACTCTTCAAAATATATATATTCGCGATCAACTCCTACGACGGGAACATTATTTAAATGAAAGTCATAAAAATGAAAAATTTAGTTACTTTTCATATGATGTTGGGATTGTATGGGTTGGTTGTGTTATTAGTAGGAAATGTTATTTTATATGCGAACAAAAGTATGCAAACAATTGTATTACAAGAATATATAACATGAAAGTCGTGGAGAAAACACCATTGAATACCAATTTAGAGATACGTATTGAACACAACTCATTACCCGATAGAGTGTACAAACATTTACCCGAAACCACATTCATTGAATTACTATCAAGTTTTGGTGGGTTATTGGGTATGTGGTTAGGGATATCTATTTGGCTAATACTAAAAATTACTATTATTATKATATTTAAAGACTGGRAAAATAAAAAACAAAAACGAAAGAAAAAGACAAAACAAAAAAACATACGATTTTAATGGATTGATATTTTAGGTTAATATTACTGTTTATATTATTAACTAATTTGTTTTGACTCATTTTTTTAGAAAAAGAGATATTCATCAGTAATGCGATCTGGGGGTAGGGGGTAAAGCCGCTTAACCCAGACATAGATTTGGGAGATTTACCCCCAGACTTATAGTATAGTATATATGATATATTAYGTGTGATGTATTAAATTAAATAAATAWTTTTTTCAAATAAAGAAATTACAAACCAAAAATGTTTTTATTAACTATAAATCTATTTATCAATCAATATAATAATAGTGTTGTTYAATACATTAATTGAATTCATTTAATGTAATCTATGAATAAGTTATGACAATTTTGGTAAATATTACTTGAAATGTAATTGAATGTCAATTTATATGCCGGAGAGAGAGAGAGAGAGAGAGAGAGAGAGAGAGAGAGAGAGAGAGAGAGAGAGAGAAAGTTATATGATATGAGATTTGTCAACTAATCGCATATTCAATACATTTCAATGCAATTCAGATCATGTTTTCTATAAAATGATTGCAAACACATATGTATTGAATGTTGAATGTGATGCAGATTTTATTGACAACAAATCCGATAGTGTTTTTCATCAATATATTTACTCAATGAACACTTTATATGATATTTACAAAATAGGATCTTATTTTTTAAAGACATCATTCAAATCAATTACAAACTCTTACTAACTTTCAATTATTGATTGTTTACAATTCATTTCGTAGTTATTGGAAATTTATTGTTTAATTATATAAATTATATGTATGTTATTAATACTTAGTTTATAGTAAACAGTAAAAATGTTATTAATATTAATAAAATCATACCGTATTTATATTCTTTTTATTTACTAATGTTATTAGTACTGTATTTATAGYATAAAAATATATAGGATTTATAATTTATTAATACACAATTTATTTATTTATAATTATTTATTAGATATATAGAAATAAATTGGTAGTAATCTAAATATATAAATGATATATCATTTGAAAATCTTTATGCTGACAAATTCAATGTGTATTTTACAAATACATCACAATATGACAAAACAAATATAAATATAAATTGAAGATACGTGTCAATCAAGTTATTTGTTACGTATATATCGCTTGAAAATTTAATGCAAAAGTTGTATGATATGTATGACATTATATAAATTATATTAGAATAATATTAGAAACTAAAATTTGATATCAAATACAAATGTAAAAAATAAAGTTTGTATACAACGAGTGTTTTATAAAATATTTTACTACTTTTTACTTTACAATCTTAACGACAATTACTAAAAAGGTTTTACACAAAAATATCTTTTAAAGCAATAGTATTGTAATTCTCTCATTCAATCAATTGTATTATCAATATTTGTTCCTATTTTTCAATATTTACTGTATTATAATTTATATATATATCTAGTATTGAATAAAACTAGTGAATTTACTATTGAAATCAACAAATAAAAGTTAAAATAAAATATTTTACATTTTGAATGGTTTTGTCTCAACTTTCTCTCTTTATTTATTTATTTCTATACATATATAACATATAGATATTGAAATTTGATATATTATATAAAATTTTTGAGTCAATATTTACTATATTTTTACTTTACTAAAAAACATTTTTTGTAATATAAATAGTAAAATATGAAAAGATAGAGACAAAGAAACAATTTAAATTACTTTTTGAATATTAAATTTTACAAAAAAAAATCAACAAAAATATATATTATATTGTTTTTATATATACAAATATATTATTCATATTATACATAATTTACATTTTAAATAAATTGAATTCAACAACAAAAATTATAAATAGCTATAAATAAAATGCTAACTTATTATTATTATTATTATACAAATTTTAAATATAATAAATATTTATTTATTTTTTAAAAATATTTGTCGATGAAAACAGAAATATATAGAAATATAAATATAGTAATTAGTATATATTATCTAAAAATAGGTGTAATAAAAGCGATCATTGGGCGAGAAAAACAATATTATACTTTTATAAATATTTTCAGTTATTAACATTTTTTTCTGATAATTGTCGCAAACTTTTACTTTAATGTTTACTTTCAAATTATTATTGTTAATAATATTAAATATATTAAAATAATTAAACATTTTCTAGTATAAATACGACTCCAATTTTATATAAAACTATGATTTTATTTTACATAAATTTATATAATATTTTATATAAGAAAAGTTTTAYAAATTTATTAACAAAAAATAACTATTATATTATTAATAAAATAAAATTTTTTATAATTAAAAGATATTAATTATAAGTTTAAGTAAAGAAAAAAGAGTTATAATAATGAAAGAAAATATTAATTTAGTGATTAACTGAAGAAAGGGATTAATAAATAGTTTAATAAAATGAAATTCATTGAAAGTGTCGACACATTTATTGTGAGAGTAATTAACTGGTGTTTCATTGAGTAACTGTGCTTTTCATACAATTTTGTCATCACTTTATCACTATATACTGTACAGTATATATAGTTTATTTTATGAACTGTTGTGTCCATCATCGTTGAGTACACTAAAACATACTATTATATTACCCAAAATAAATAATATTATTATAACAACAATAACATTCACAATAAAAGCAATAATTTTGATAATATTGGACATCAAATCAATAACATTTCACTTCATAAACAATTTTCCGCTTCAATTAACTCTTTCAATCATAACTCTTGATAACTACAGTATGATGTGTATGTGTTAGAGACTAGAGAGAGAAAGAAAGAAAGAAAGAAAGAAAGAAAGAGAGAGAGAGAGAGAGAGAGAGAGAGTAACTTATATATTAAAATATAGTGGAATATTACTCAATATTAATAAACTATATTTATATTATATAATTATTTTTTATTTTTTATAGAAAATTATTTTAATTATATATTTATAAAACTTTGATATAAAAATTATTTTATTTACATTATAAAGTATATTAGATTTTAACTCTAATACTGTATTATTCAAAGTACTTTGGGTTCATTAGAAAACAGGTTTTAAATAATATAATATAATATAATATATACAAAATATGTAAATAAATTTTTAAGATGTTCAGGAATTCTCAATCAGAATCTTATAATTTTTAAAAATATTTGTTTTAATTTTTATACATAATGTTAATATAATTAGTTAATATATATACAGTAGTTATAAATTTTAAGTTATAAAAGTTAAAAATTATAATATAAAATAATCTGATGACTATTAAATATCAAAACATTTGATTACATTGAAAATTTTATAATATGATAAGTTAAGTGAACACATTGTACTTAAACACTATAATTATCCATTAATTATGTGTTCAATACGTACGCAATATGTACTTTGGGTTCACATAATTTTATTTACTGTATATAAAGCAAAACAAGTATAAAAACTTTTTAAATCTTTATTATAACATATATTGTTAAATAACATTTTGCTTTTTAAAGTTTAAAATATATGTAAAATGTTGTTATATACAATTTTATCGTTAATTTATTCAAACTCTACAATTTTATTATTGTCATTAATTGTTTATTTCATCGGAAAGTCGACATTTAGTTATTATATATCAAGAAAAAGATTACCTCCCGGTCCTTTTGGTCTACCATTAGTTGGTTCTCTTCCGTTCATCAAATCGGATCCATTGAAGACACTTTTTGAGTGGTCAAAAAAATATGGACCAGTGATTGGGTAATATTATTAATTATATGTTTAAGAAAATATTTTATTAAAATTAATTATAAATTACTTAATTAAAATAGACTTCAATTGGGAAATAACCCGGTAGTCATATTAAATGACTGGCCGACCATTAAAGAGGCTCTTTCTATGGATACTATTTTGGATAGACCTAAACATAACTTTTTTACATCAGTCATACCTATTAGTAAGTTAAATACATTATAAAAATTAATAATACTTTACTAATTTATAATAGTAATAACATCTATAACATAATATTGTTGTCAATTTTAAGGCTTTGCTGCCTTAAGTGGACAGGTATGGAGAGAGCAGCGAAAGTTTACGGTACATCAGCTCAGGAATCTGGGATTTGGTAAGACATCGATGGAAGACCACATTAGAAGAGAGATCACTCATGTTTGCCAAAAAATTGACCAAAACATTGATCGGGATTTTGAATTTCGTAAACTGTTTTCATTGAGTATTTCCAATAATGTCAGTGCCTTTATATTTGGCAGACGTCTAGACTACGAGAGCAGCGCTAAGAAAGTGATCGACGAGTTCCTCACACCCGACCCTAAGCTCAATCTTCTCAGTGTTTTTCAATTTTTTCCACAATTAGTTGGTTTTATATTTAAATATTTACACTTTCTATTGCCTGAAGATTTTAGAAAAACAAGACTTAGAGTACAATATTTAACTGACTATTTCAGGTATTTACACAATCATTACTTATACTGTATTTCATTTAAAACTAATATATTTATAATATAATAAATTTTATAATAATTAAAAAAAACTAATTTAGGAGTGAAATCAAGACTCATTCACAAACATTGGATGTCAACAATAATCGTGATTATATCGACGCCTATTTGACTGAAATGCAAAAATCAAACATTTCAGATAACTCGACATTCAATCGTAAGACAATCTTAATTGTATTCATTTAATTATTATACAATTAAATTAATTGTTGTCCTATCAATCAATCAACATAGCAAACACTTTAGAGGGCAATACATTTGCTTTATTTGCTGCCGGATCTATAACTACGACAACAACACTGGAGTGGGCGATGTTAGCATTGGCCACATATCCAGACATACAAAAGCGTTTACAACAAGAAGTTGATGAAGTCATTGGTGTAAATAGCATACCTGAGTACGGATATAGACAGCATATGCCATATCTACAAGCGTTTATACACGAGATTATACGCTATAGATCAATATCACCAATAAACTTACCAAGATGGTAGCAATTATATCATTATATTATACAAAAGTGTATTTTTAAATTAATTTTGAATAATGTTTTTATTAAAGTGCAATTCAAGACATAACAATTGGTGGCCATAGGATACCAAAAGGCACGCAAATATTTGTCAACTTTTGGTCCGTAGAAAATGATCCGATTTTATGGGACAAACCATCAGAGTTTAGACCACAAAGATTTTTGACAAATGAAAATACTTTTCAAAAACCCGAACATTTCACTCCATTTTCATATGGTTTGTAAAAATATTTATTTATATTAATATAAAAATTTATATTTTACAAAAATATTATAAATAGTGAATTTGATTATTATATTAATGTTATTATTGTTTATTTATTAGGCAAGAGGTCGTGTCCGGGGGAAGTATTAGCTATGGCTGAGCTCTTCCTATATCTGACAACATTTCTCCAGAAGTATGACATCTTAGCAACCGATAAGACGGACAAAAAACTTGAATATTTATTTGCCTTTTCATTGATCCCAAAACACATACCTGTCATCAAATTTACAAAACGAAATCATCAGTAAATTGTTTTTATAGTATTTATTACAAAACATTTAATTATTTTTTTGACATTATATTCTTTAGATTTACTAAATACTTATTATTATTAAAAAAATACTGTATTTATAATTATAATAATATTGTATATTATGCAATTAAAAATAAATTACAAATATGAAAATAATTGCAAAACAAATTTATTTTTAAATACTTTTATATATTTTAAAAAATAATCAAATATAAAGTATTATACTATTGTAATTACAAGTTAATTGTAATTACATTAAAAATAAAGTGTATATTATAATAAACGTAATATTTTTAGTTTACAGTATTGATATTACGGTAAATGAAACAAAAAATATTGATAATTAAAATTGATATTATAGTTAAATTTAAAAACTTTGAAGTTTGCGCTTAATATAGTCCTGACTTTTTTGTGCCCACTCTAGCATTGATTCCGGACTGAAATTATTAATTTCACCAAAATATGGTAATTCTGTGGGCAATGATGTCAGCCATCGATTCAGGTTTGGATAGTCAGTCAAATCATAGCCGGAAAACGTTAGCGGAAATGTTGTGACCACTAATGCCAAGTCAGCAATCGTTAGATTATCTCCAGTTAGAAACTTGTTGTCACCGATCAATTGGTTCATTATTTTTAAGTTATTTTGAAGTGCAGTCAAGTTTTCGGGTGTCGGGTCAACACCGAGAAATGTCTTAGAATACTATCAATAATATAAAACAATTAATTAATAATTATTAATAGCAAATATCAACTATCGATACGCACCGAAACTCTAGATACGGTGGTTAAGAGACTCATATCAAAGTTAAGCCATCTGTCAATTATTGCCCGCTTTTTGGGATCTTTTGGATAGAGAGTGCCGTCCGGTTGGTATTTATTGGCCAGATATTGCAGTATAGCCCTACTTTCCCATAAAACAAATCCATTATCAATAATTGTAGGTAAACTATGAATTGGATTTAGCTGTAAAATTAATTATCGTAATTAATTAAATAATATATTGTAATAATCTAATTAAAATATGCGTTTAATAACTATTAACTAATTTTTATTATAAAATTATTATAAATCAAAATGCAATTAAATATACAAAATTATATAATAGTCAAAACTAACCTTAAGAAATGTTTCGTTAAACTGTTGTCCGGCACCGGGATCTGTCTCAATCACGTTTAGGTCAATGTTGAGCTCTCGGCCCAACATTAGTACTGACCGACAAAATGGACTCATTTTAAACGAGTAAATATCAATTGACATTTTTACAGATTTAAAATTATTTGTCAAAATTTGTTAATTATTATCAATGAATCTGAAATAAAGTTTAGTTTATTTTGAACATTACAGCTAAGCAMAGGGAGATTTTATATTAAAATTTTATGGAGAAAAAGGAGGAGTACTGTACAGTATAACTACAACTTATAATATTTGTGATTATTTTTTCATTACAGACAACTTTCAGTTTTAAGGTCAACAAGTTTTTCAATACAATAAATATAATATGTTGTCATTTCCATAGCAAATATCGTTATTGTTAATAAAAATTATAATTTTATATGAAAAATTGTTTACAAATGTTTAATGTACTAAAAATATTTCTATTAAATTATAATTAATATTTTTTAATTATTAAAAGTTATTGATATTTTAAAAATAAAATATAATATAACATAATTTGATTGTAAAAGTTGCACTAGATCAATTTTATTTTAAACTCAACATTTTGAACTCAACATTTTTATAAGCATWTACTGTATGTCTAGCAATCTATCTATAAATATTTACAAAATTTATTATGTTGAATGCGACCTTGATTATTATTATTATTATTATTAATTTATTATAATGTATAGTTGTATACTGTAGAAAGTATTTTATATATTTCAATACAATAAATTAATAGTACGATATTATCAAACAAAAATATATTACTTATTAATAAATCTTTATAATAATCATATTTATTTAAACTTAAAAACAAGCTTATTTATTTATATTTTATTATTTAATAATTTATCATTGTAAATTTTATATAAATTCTTATAGTATAAGTTTTAAAAAATAAAATAGTGCAAATAAACTTTGATGATAAATAAATAGCGCGATTTTTAAAATTTATTTAATTATTAATTAACTCAAATAACAAATTTTTAAAAATATTATTAAGACATTAGCTATAAATTACACAGATTTTTATACAATCTCCTGTACTTTCATAAAATTTATAATAATTAATTTGTATATTTAGATGTATAGTAGTGTTTATAATAAAATAAAAAACTTTATACTCTAATCATTAAATTGTTGTTAATTATATTTTAATAAATTTTAATTGAAAGAAATCTTTTAAATATATTATAATTGAACATAAAATATCAATTCACTGTAATTTTTATAATTTTTATTTATTTTGTAAATTTTATATTCAAACTGAACTTTATTACTATAGTCTGTAAAAWACTGTTTATAGATTTACTTTAGAATAATTAATAGTTTATTATTAAACGATTTTATTAACTTTACAATATTGATGATTGTTATGCTATAATAACTATTATATTTTAAAAACATTTTAACGGTTTTATCAAATTGTAAATTTTAACCAAACATTACAATCAAAACATTTGCAATAATGTCTTCACACTTTCAATTATCTGCTGAAAATGCGATGACAATCACTCACAGGGAAGTAATACAACAAATATTTGAATTGATACACAAATGGCACCAATTATTACAATATACGGATCAAATACTGACACAAATTGGCGACAAATATCACACCCAWTGCACAGATCGGTGGCTTTCAGTGAATAACAAAAGACAATTGTTTCAAATCAATAAACAAATATCAAAATTACTTTTAGTGACAAACACTGAAACCAAAACCAAAATATCTGATGTAAAGCAAGTTATCCATCAGTTAAATGATAGGCTAATTGTAGGCAAAGTGTCCAACTATTGCGGTGATGATAGCATTGGATGTATCAAAAGGGATGAATCAAAGATGAATCAATTGAAAGATATATCACATGAATTGGACAACAATTTTACTAAATTAGATGATATTATTGAGTACTTTATGAATCTCAAGAAGCGAGCGCTTAGGACTGTCACTACAAACGATAGGACATCTCAAGCGGTCATTGATGTCAATCAAGAGATGAATAATATCATTGAAGTTAACGAAAATTTTTTGTTGTTTTAAAATTATTTATTTATTAATTCAATTAATTTTTTAAATCATAAATTTTTAWAAAAAAATGTTTATAGCTTAATACTTTTTGAAATAGGAAGATATTTTTAAGATTTTTCAAAATAATTAAAATGTTACAATACATATAATTTGAATTAAATAATAGTCAAATTGTATTATTTATGTAGTTATGTTTATTTTTAATAAAATTAATACATMGATACAATACAAGTTGTAGTTTTAAAAATCAGTTTTAATATCTTTTTTTCAATTGGAAATTTTATTCAAATTAAATTATGATTTAATTATAAAAAAATTACATATTAATGTAAATTTTATTTTTGTTGTGCAGCCAATCTGGCTCTGTATTTCTCAAACATGGCATCCCTTTCAGCTTTGGGTATATCATTGATGTCTTTATAATAGGGAAGTTCGGCTTTTAGTTGTGTCGACCATCTCTTATAATTGGGAACATCAYTCAAGTCATAGTCAGCCCATTCGTGTGCTACTGAAGTGGACAACAGAGACAAGTCAGCGATCGTCAATGTATTGCCGGCAAAGTATTTGTTGGATCCGATGACACTGTCGATTGTTTTCAGTGTATTTTTATAGGCAGTTGCCTTATCCTCATCAACCGGTGCACCCACAAGCTTAGGGTACTATTGTAATAATAATAATAATAATAATAATAATAATGTGAAAAAACTGAAAAATAATAATAAATTATATGTCAAACCATAGCAAGTCTTTGCTGAGAAGCCAAATTGAAGTCAATATTAAGACATCGATCTACTAATGCTCTTTGTTTGGCATCTTTTGGATACAGAGAGTTGTCCGGTGCGTATTGATTGCATAGGTATTGTATGATTGCTCTACTTTCCCACAATGAAAAGCCATTATCCACTATAGTTGGAATGGTATGAGCCGGGTTTAACTGTATAAATTATTTTTATTTTTTATTTGATACTGTTTTTCTAATCTTAATAACTATGTTATAAACTAAGTTATAAATACAATACCTTTAGAAATTCAGGCTTTAAGTGTTCTCCTGTAGACAAGTCCAATGCTTTATGGTTGAGCTGAATGTTGAGGTGTCGGGCCGTCATAAGCACTGACCTACACGGGGCACTCATTTTAGTTCCGTAATAATCGATCGGCATTTTGTTTGACTTGATATTTATTGACTTGAATTAACTTTACAAAAAGTTAGACATAAAATCAATGATCAAATTTCTACAAAATTAGCGCTTAATATACTAACTGTTATCTGAAGGCCGTTATGTAATAATTGTTGGATAACTGCGTTGACGCCAATAAATGTCAGGCATTACCATAAGGTTTAGTGCAATTCAGATAATTATTTTGTACTGTAGTTGTTTGACTATACTATTTTGTTGATTACATATATCCATAAAAATAATAAACATACTGTATATGCAAATACGGTATTTTATTTAATTTCATATTTGTTATTTCTAGAAAAATCTATTGATTTCAATCTATGTTTAGTACAAAAAGTTTATTTTCTAATAATAATTATTTATACAGATTAGTCTTGTTGTTATTAATATTTATAAAATATTAATTTATTAAATTTATTATATACCGGTAATTAATTGATTAATTAATTAATAGTAGATATGCAAGCTCAGATACATTGTTTAACTTATATGGATAAAATAATAATTAATTTAATATGTATATAATAATTAAATATAGTGTTATCTATAGTTTTTCAATTGTTATTTTTGAATTTAATATACGAGTGATTATAACTTTTRTATCGTATTTATCGATCAAATTTATTGCATTGTTTAGGTCCGCCTAAAATTGCACTAATATTTAGTTCATTTTATGATAAGAAAATTGATTACCGATAGCTGTTTTTCATACATAAATTTATATTTACAATATTTGGAAAAATTTCAATTCATTATAATACTAATTATAAACATTTTTGTAATTAAAATTTAGTATATTAACGTTTTTTGTGTTTTGGATACAGGAATACAAAATGTTGATTACAATATTGTTAAATTACAAAATTAACATTAAATTATTTTCAAATTTATATTTTACTTAATTATGAACTGTTAGTGTACCGTATTTTGCTTAATATTATTTAAACATTTTGTTAGTATCATATAAAAAGACGATAATTTTATTTACAGTATTTACTAAACATTATAATAATGTATATCTWTTAAAATTTTCTAATTTATATCATAATCATTGGATTAATTAAAAAAATGTATCAGTAATGAAATAACTTAATAATATGGTTGTATAATTATTTAGCAATATTCAATAATAATAAGTTATTGAATTTCAATGTTTTATTAATTATTAGACATTTATAACTTAATTAAATATTCACAATTAATATTAGTTAACAATTATATTAAGTACTAATATTACCGGTAGTTATTATAATGTATCTCTTTGTAATAAAGTTTAATATTTTTATKATAAAACTACTTTATAAAAATAAGACAATTAAAGTGATAAAAAAATTTGTGTATTACGATAAAAACAATTTTTATTTAATATTAAATAAATACTAATAAAAAATGAATGTTAGATTATCATAAAATAAAACAGTATATTATTATATAATACATATAAATTAAATTATTTAATATCATATCATAATATCATATGTTTATGCTTTGGGTGCAAACTTTGCCTTATATTTCTCGACCATAGCATTCAATTGTTCTTTAGGTATATTGTTGACCTCATCAAAGTAGGACAGTTCACCTTTCAGTTGGTTATACCATCGGTTGAAGTTCGGTACATCTGACAAATCAAACGCCGGCAGCCAATCGTGCGGTACGGCTGCGGCCAACAACGACAGGTCAGCAATGGTTAGATCGTTTCCGGTCAGGTACTTGTTTGTGCCAATCAATCCGTCTATAACTTTCAATGCATTCTTATAAGCTGTAACCTTGTCTTCAGCTACCGGTGCTCCCATAAGTGTTGGGTACTAATTAAGTAAAAATTTATTATTAATTTTTATTATACTTWTAATGCCTAATAAAAATTCATTTGACTGACCAAAACATCTCTTTGATGATATCCGAGAGAAAAATCTTGATTAAGCCATCGCTCAACAATTGCTCGCTTTTTTGTATCCTTCGGGTATAGTGAGCTGTCGGGTGCGTATTGGTTGCACAGGTATTGCAAAATGGCTCGACTTTCCCACAATGCGAAACCATTGTCAACAATAGTGGGTACCGTATGGCTAGGATTTATCTAAAATTACATTTAAGTTATTATTTTACTAATCATTAGAATTTTRTTCAATCAATCCATACCTTCACAAACTCCGGGGCCAACTGTTGTCCTTCACTTAAGTCAATGTGTTTAATATTTACCGATAGTTTCAATTGCTTGACTGTCATCCAAACGGCACGGGAGGGCCCACTGTATTTGCTTATGTATAAGTCAATTGACATTTTGCTTAATAATTGATTTGATTTATTGTTAAACAACTTTTAAGACAATTTAATTGAAAGTTAATTTTTYACTCAAAATATTTTTATGTGATATATGTTCAAAACGACCGCTTATATAGTTTAGTCAAATATATTAATACCAGAAACGCCTACTTTCTAAATACCGGCGCAATCGTTAAGTTGTAGAGTTTAGTGCAAACCAATACAGTCTATATTTGATTTAATATACAATCATGTTTACTAAATAAATATGTTTAATAATTATTTAAAATTTAGTCAATAACATTAAAAAATTAAAAATAATTTTGTATCTTAATATTTATTAAAATAAATAGTATTTAATTTATCTAATTGTTAAAAATTAATTAGTAKTAAATATATTAACTGTTATTAATGTTATTAACTGTATTTGTACTAAAATATATTATTATTTTTATGTTGAKATCACTGAATAGGATAAACCAATAATATATTTACAAATATGCCATAAATATAAATTGCAAAATTTGAAATTAATAAACCGCAAGTTTATGGGAAATTGTATTTCAATTTTATTTATTCTGTAAATTTAGTGCATTTAGTGCAATGATTAGTTGATTTATAATTTAGTATATATTATATTATTATTTTGATAATACAAAAATTTTATTACAATTAATAAAAAATTGAATATTATTTATAAAAATTATTAAAACTTGTGTCTATTATTTTATTTAGGAGATTATAATTAAAAAATATTCCAAGATTTTAAAATTTGATATTCAAAATTTGTATCAAATTTGTTAATACATTTTATTTTATTATATTCATTATTTAGTATTTAAAAATGTTAACAAAATAATTAAAAAAAAATCATAAGTTATTAATATTTAGGTAATTTTGTTGAAATATAATAATATAAATTATCTATTATTTGTTGACAGTTTGTGCTGCAATTTTAGCCTTAATTTTGTCGAAGTAATGTTTGGCTTCATTTTTGTCCAAATGATTAATTTTTTCAAAATAAGGTAACTCTGAGCTCAATATACTATACCAGCGCTTTAGGTTAGGATAGGATTCAATATCAAAGTCCAAGTTATCGAGTGTAACACTTGTGGCCAATACTGTCAGATCAGCAATAGTCAAGTTATCGGATACTAAATACTTGTTGTCACCGATTAATGTGTCCAATAATTTCAAATTATTTTTCAATGCATTAACTTTTTCTTCGGGTGGATCCACTCCTGTCAACAGTTTTGTAAACTATTCATTCAATAGATATTAAAAAATAATTTAAATCAAGTTTTTTAAAAATTATATAAATTATTTTGTTTGTTATACCAGTCCTTCACGTTGTGACTGCAAAAAACTCATATCAAAATTAAGCCAACGATCCACAAGTGCACGCTTTTTAGGGTCTGACGGGTAGAGTGTACTATCGGGCGCATATTGATTGCACAGATACTGCATAATAGCACGACTTTCCCACATAACGAAACCATTATCATCGAGTGTAGGAACAGTATGACATGGATTCAACTATTGTAATCATATAACAGTATTATAGACTATTGATAAAAAAGTGTTGAAAATTCTAATTCAAACCTTCAAAAACTCGGGAGTTTTGTGTTGATCTTCGCTGAGATCAACAGTTTTGATGTTGACATCGATGTTAAGCTCCCGACAGGTCATGAGGACAGACCTACACGGAGGACTCAATTGCATAATATACAAATCTATAGACATTATTGTCTATTTTAAAGTTTGTGATAAGTTTTCAAAAATATTTATGTTTCTTATTTACGGTATATTTTAAATCTGAGTTTTCACAGCAAACTTTTATGTAAAACACTTGATATAAATAGTTAATGGTTTTAAATATAATATGTTTTTGCTTAAAGTATTGTATTTAATAATATGTTTGTCAAGGTTTTCAATAAATTGTTTTAAAAAGTGAATCTCTGTCTAATAACAACACAAAAATATGATATAATTCGCAATTATTATTTGATAATTATTAACAGTGGATATAAACATATAGAAATACTGTATATAATATTGTCATTTATACAATATTTAATGGGCTTTGTATGAACTCTTTATAATAAATTAAATTAACATATAATATAAGATTTATACATTTATTATTATCTGTAGTTTTTTACATCAGAAATTAGTCATCCAAATACAATACAATAATACATTATATATATATATATATATATATATATATATATATATATTAAATAATAATTGTAAAGACATAATGATATTATGAGTCATAAAATTGTTGGACATTTGAAGGACGATTTGCATCAATTGTTGGGTAATTCAAATACCTGTTATTTAACTATTAATAGTATTGTAATTTAAATGTATTATATTAAACTATTTTGTATTTTATTATATAATTAACTTGTAAATAATTATTTTGTAAAAAAAATAATTTTATTTTTGTAATATAAATATAAAAAAGCGCACTATTATAACTAAAATATTTTTTAAATATCGTAAAATGATTTTAATGTTATTTTTTCTTTTTATTTATTTAACAACAATAATTTTGCAAATTTTGGTTTAAATCCAATATTTAGATTTATATTTTAATTTTATAATTTATATAATCATATAAAATAATGAAGTGATATACAGTATATATCAGGCGATATCACGATTATTATACGGTCCCTTACTTAAAAACATAATTACTGACCAAGATAAAAAACAAAAAAATTATAATACACAAATTTAATAACCTTTTTTATATAATATTAAATAAAATATACCACTTAATTAAAATTAATATGTAACAGTGTATTTGAGCTAGATGAAATATATTATAATAAACCATAAGCTTCGACAGTGCATTTTAATCAAAAGTAATCAGAAATCACTATACTGATCACCAGTGGTATATATCATAGAAGTTATATATCATGTATTGAAAACATTTTTGTCTTTTATCAACAATATTAAAAATATGAATTTCCATAAGTTTATTAAAACTTAATTAAATAATGTTTTTATATAAATATTTATTCAATAAACTAATAAAGTTTATGCAATTAAAATCTACTCTACAGTACAGTCTAATAGTGTTCATCTAATACTCTAATAAAATGCTTGTTATAGACTTGTGATTGAAATAAGCTTTATAAAAACAAATTGCACATATAATATAAACTAGTACAAATTAAATGATTAAGGATAAGTTTATCTTACTTATTGTTTAATATAAATTTTAAAAATTATTATAAAATATTTTTTTTAATTTGTTATGTTATATATTTTAGGCATTTATCAAAAATCTATCACTGATATCACTTAATGGAAATCATTTTTATAGACTATTGTCTAAACTTTAATCTTTTATTTTTCAATTTTCTTAGAGATGTAGTGATATGTCCTTTAAATGACTTTTAAATATATATTGTATAACAAATGAAATTAACATTTTTGTATTAATGATTTTATGTTTGTTATTAATATATTAATATAAAAGTAAAATCACAATTACTAGAGTCTCGACAACGAGACGATGAATAAACAATACTAACACTGATTGCTAATAATTTTTTATTATTAATAGTAATAAATATTAAACTTATTAAYCATTTAATTGTTAACTATAAGTATTAATATTAATAGTTGTTTAATTATATTATACAAATAATTATTTAGCACAATATACAGTAAAATTTGTAACATTTCATATTTGAAATTTATTATCCTTATGATAAAATTAATTATAAATTACATAAATATGAATTACATTATCATATAATAATCATAGATAATAAAAATATCTTTATTGTTTTTTTATATAATAATTGAAGTGAAATTAATTAGCAAAWAATCTATATGAGTAAAATAAAATTTGAATATTATAAAAATTAATTCAATTAAAATTACTTTTGCATTAATTTAGTAAAAAATGTTTTCATTTTGTCCATATATTGTTTAACATCACCATGATCAAATTTGTTTATCTCATCAAAGTCTGGTAACTCTTTGGTCAACTCAGTCATCCAATTGTTAACATTAGGAAAGTTATCCAAAGAAGTGCCCAAATAATGTTGAGCCGTGAATATTGAAGCCAATAATGATAGGTCAGCGATGGTTAACTCATTGCCTGTCAAATACTTATTGTTACCAATTAATTGGTCAACAAGTTTGAGGCTATCGTTCATAGTCTTAACTGACTGTTCATTTGGCTCCTGGTCCATGAATTTGGGTTTAGCCTAATTTGTATGGCATATACAGGTAATATATATATATATATATATRTATTATAATTAATATTATTTATAACAAGCAACTTAATTATTGAGTATTAATTGAGATAAACTAAAACACATTCAAAGACATACCACTGCATCTCTAAAGTTATTAAAAAACGAGAGGTCAAAGTTGAGCCAACGGTCTACGATAGCCCTCTTCTTAGGGTCTTTCGGATAGAGAGTGCTGTCGGGTGTGTATTGATTGCACAGATACTGCAATATAGCCCTACTTTCCCACAAAACAAAGCCGTCGTCATCAATGACGGGAATTGTATGAAACGGATTTAGCTGTTAATAAAAAATATGATAATTGCTCTCAAGTTTTAATTTGTTTTATTTCTATCAAAATTTTTATTATATATCTATTTTTTATAAAAATTTTGTTAATAATAATAATAATATTACTTTTAGGAAATCTTCTTTCAAATGTTCTCCTTCACTCAAATCGACAATTTTRAAGTTCAAATCAATGTTCAACTGTTTGGCCACCATATGAACCGCACGACACGGCGGACTGTATTTAATATAATAGATATCGATCGGCATTATTACAAATAATTAACACTACCTTAAGGGACAACTTTACAATTAAATCCTAATTCTAACTACAACTAAATATATACAGTAAATAATATTATATATATTTATATATTCAATCTATTTATATGATAGGCGTAGACTATGCCCAGTAGTTTGACAGTACAAATACTAGAGTAACAACCCTCGTATTCATAGTTACTATTTTAGACATAAATTGCTTCATTATACTGTATTTCATGGTTATCGTAATTTTCAATGAAACTTTTAGAGTATTTATTGTTTTATACAAAAAAAAACTATCATATAATGATATAATTTTTAGAATATAATTCAAATATTTATTTAACACAATTTTAATCATTTGTGATTAATTTTTTWAAAAATATTTATAAACTTAATATAACAAAGCATTGTGTTTTATTTGTACACAGTATATACAGTATATATACTGTATAATATGTTTTCAACACATTTAGTTATTAAAGTATCTATTTTTGATAATATTATATTATTATAATTAATTTTTTATCTAAACATATTTTATTGATAATATGATACAAGTTGTAACAATAAATTTGTTTTACTCAAATTAAAATCTCAATTCAAGCTAATAATTATTTTAATATATATTAATATAAATTGTAAGTAAAAAAATTTATAAAAGTAGTATTATATAACAAATATTTATATTAATAATTTTATTATTTGTAAAAATAACAAGTTTATATAATGCTATATTTAAATTGATAATAATTCTAATAAATAACAATAACATAATTACAGGATATCCCAGATTAATGAAATTTGTTAATATATGAAAATTTATAGAAATTAAATTTTGTTATTTTCTAATGAAATAATTTTGTTATACAATTTTATTGATATTAAAATTTTTAAAATTTCAATTTTGAGCGCACTCTTGTGTTGGATATATTTATTATAAAAAAATTAGAGTATTATATCATTTATAATAAAAAAAWTTATAAAAATACTAAAGGATTAGTTTCTGAACAACAATTTTTAGGCAACATTTTTAGAGAAAACATTTTTTTCTAAAATCTTAAATCAAATTACAGTATATGTAGTATATATACTGCTATATCATATATATTACTTGTTTTGATTAGTTTTCCACATCGTATGATAAATGATGGCATATTTAGAGATTCACTAAAAACTATTATACAGAATATAAGGATAATATGGGATTCAAAGCTAATATCAAACACCAATGTTCACGATCTATACATTTACTGAGAGATTTTTTTGTGTGTATATATCAATACTCGACTTACACTGTAGTTTTGTAATGCAATTAGAAATGGACAAATAGAAATTTCTAATAAATTTCTCAGGAATAAACTATAGAAATTTTACTTTATTGTTATAATATACTATATTATAAAAATACATTACATTAAATAATATATAATAATATTTTATACATACTAGTCTATATGTGTGATTTACTTTTATCATGGTTCTTTTCAGAAATTATTATAACAAAATTAAATTTCTAAATATAAAGTTAATAACTGTATTATAGGATTCTATAAGTATTGTAATGCTATATTAATAGGAGATAATACAGGTATACTCTATACTACACTGCTATACAAATAGAATTCCTATATATATATAATTAATAAAATTATCTAATTATAATTATATATTTTCATAAAACATTATCATTCAAATATATTTTTAATTTAATTTAATTAAATTTATAAATTTATTACTTTAAATATTAATTAAAATACTAATATTATTATTTAGTTTTTATTTGTAATTATAATGTATTTTTACAAACTAACAAATAATGAGATAACAAAATTAACCTGGGAGATCCATAGACTGAAATTTATTTTAAAAACTTTCTACAATTTTCTCTATTATTTTATAAATTTCTCTTTTATGTCAATTCTAAGTGCAATAGTAAAAGGGATGCCTTAAATAAAAGGGATTAATAAATGAGATGAAAGTAAACATTAAATAAATGAATCCCTAATGTGGTATTAATTTGGTCTCAATAAACACACAAAAAATTAAAAAAGTCACAAAGGATATTAAAATATCGTTTATATTATAGTATAAATTATAATATAAATTATAATCTCTAATATAATTTATCTACAATTTTGTTTTTTTAATGTAATAATAATATAAAAATAATTGCATTACACATCTATTGAATAATATTAAATATTATAAAATGCATTAAAATTGTAATGCAATTCTAAAATTAAAATAAAACACTTAATTTTAAAACACAAAATTAATCTTAATTTAAGTTATATTACTAATAAACTAATAAAACGCAATAATATAGAATTCATACAAATTCATAATATTTATTTAAATTTCTTTTTGAATAATGTATTATTATTAATATTAAATATATACCAGTATTATTTGATATTACAAAAACACTATGAACTACAAAATGATTAGTTATGAATCTTAACTTATGATTATACTATTCAATATATCCATATTTTAATGGATTAAATACTGTATAATTGTTTAATCAATAAATCTTATTTAATTTAAAATAAAAATAATATATGTTTCATATAAATTATTATTTTCAACTTAGCTTAGTTACAATCCAGTTATATTTAAATTAATTTAATTTTTTAATTTAAATAATTATTATAAAAACAATTACTAAACTTATACCGTATTTCATATGTCCTATGCTATTCATAATATAATATATAAAATTCATAATAAATATTATTGAAACAGATTTTATTATTATAATCATTTAGTTGGCTTTAATTATACTCATCACATGTTTTCAGACTTATCCACATTTATTTATAATTACAAATTATATTATTAATACATATGTTTTTATATTACTATTTTCATAGCCAACCAATTATATGATAACACACACACACACAGCTAATATTGCATTAATATTGCATATATAAATTAAAATTACGATCTTTAAAAAAAGTTTTACAAAATTTAATTTTTCAATTTTGGCAACTTTTTCGATTAAAATATATAAAATGGATTATTTGATAATAAATGTAATAATTATAATAAGTTTAATATCATTTAGTCAAATGATTGATCTTCGGGCTAAACCTGATCTTTCCGGTTATCGCGACTTAACCGTTGAAATTGAAAAGGACATGAAAGAGCAMCCGGAGCTGTACGACACACTCGGTATACCCGATGATATAGATTGGTTTGAATTAGATTTAAGGACTTGGAAACGACCGGAAAAGACATTGAAAGAGCAAATGGCCGAAGAAAAGGCATTATCCGATGAAATGGATGAAAATCTCAGACATTTTGCACCGGAATTACATGATTTGCCCAAAATTGAGCTCTGATTTCATAAACTTATTTTCATAGTTATATAAAAATGCATTTATTTATTTTTATATCATATTATTTTAATAATTTTATTTTAATCATATTATTTTTTAATAATGTATATTTGTATCATCATTTCTCTTATAGAAAATAAAATAACAATTAATATAAATTAATATAGTATTTATTTTTTTAAATAATTAATTTATTAATAATTAAATATCATCTTTCTTTATTTGTTTTATTATATTAATAAATATATTATATATTATATAATATTTATCACAAATACCGCAACCAATAGTTTTATATGAATATAATATGGAGGTCATGACACTTATCTGTAAACTATTAACAAATCAAGAGTTTCTTAAATTATGTCAATATTATTAAACAAAATAATAATAGGCTTTTGATTATCAGATTAACAAAAAAATGCGGAAAAGACTTAATGCAAAATTATATTTAATTTTATCATATATTTAATTCAATCATAAATAGAATAATATTTATTTTTAGTATATATATATATATATTATACAACTTCTATCATACAAAATATATATTATGTTTAATATTTTATATTTTACTAATATGTAAATTTAGTAAAAAATATAATCTAAAATTTAGTTTAATATTTACACAATTTATTTAAACAGTTTCTGTACTTTTTTTATTCAATAAATTTTGTCGATAGGTTCATTAGGAAAGTAAATGAATAGAGAGAGTGAGAGAGAGAGAGAGAGAGAGAGAGAGAGAGAGAGAGAGAGAGAGAGAGAGAGAGAGAGACTTAACTTTTGGAGACTAAATAACATAATGAGAATATTTATATTCAATTCAGATTTATTTGGCAACAAATTTAATTAAATTGAGAGACACAGCAATTGTTTTGTAGGCAAACACATAAAATTGTAAAATTTAATTATGATGTACAATATAACACAGTAATAACTGTAAATATTTTGACCAATTGTATGACATTTTGATTATATTTTGTACTGACAATAAATATTGTAATATAAAGTACTGTATATACTGTATATATATTTGATTGTAATTTTCATGAGTATTCCTGAAAGTGCATTAATTTTTTGATTGTTTGAAATGTTTTGTTTTACTGTTTAAAAGTACATACAAATTAACTGTTGTTATGTTTCATTTTGTTTTGTTGTTCCCCTAATTATATTAATAATTGTAACAATAGTTTTCCGAGTAAAATAAATTTTTTCTCATATAATAAATAGCAGACTGAAAATCAATATATAAATATATTTCAGTATATTAATATACAGAAATATATTTATATTATCAACAGTATATATATATAGATATATTTGCATAAAATGTTAATTAAATTAATTATTTAATAACAATCTATTGATTTTTTGAGGCAAATATTAACTTAAGATTTTCAATGAGTTATACAATCTATATATGTTTTTCTATTAAGAACAAGAAATTTATATTATTTTAAAAATAAATAGCATTCAGATCACGCATTTTGGGGATAAATAGGTTAACAATTAATTATAGAAATCATTACTTTATATGTAATACATGTAAACTATATACTATTTTTAACATCACTTTCCTCGTTGGAGAAAGTGATGCGTTAACCCAATAGTAGTCATGTGTCGGTGCTCTCTCTCTCTCTCTCTCTCTCTCTCTCTCTCTATGGCTAATAAACATCAAAACAACATAATTTAAATAAAAATCATATTAAAATATAATTAATTTGTAAAATTTTATTTTATTTTAGTTACAACTATTAATTCCTGTTATATCTAATATAAATTATGTTAAATGTTTTAATTTCATTAATTACTATATTTTGTGGTAAAACTTAATCAGTTAAATTGATATAATATACTCTATAGTATTAATATAGTAATTATTATTGAATAATATCCGCTATAATCAAATTAAAATCAACAAAAATTATTTGTGCCAAACATTTATATTATGATATATTTTACTGTAAGTGTAATTTAGTTGATCTCTGATAAAACTACACTTTCTCTCATTAATTGATGACTTGATATATAAATATAAGTTAAATATATATTAATTTAAATTTTATTTTAACTCTGTTTGATTAAAGATATTTAACTTTCAAAAAATGGTTTATAATATTTCAGAAGTTTAAAAGTTTGAGAATTTGTTGAAATTATTTTAAAGTTTTGTTATCTCATATTATCCAGTCGTTAACCGACTGAGTGATAGAAAATTACTGTACTTTTACTGAAAAAAATTGTTTTCTCATTAAGCGATTTAATACTCTTATAATTTTATTAAATAAATATTTACAATCATAAACAAAAAATATCTTTATAATAAATAACTGATTTGAATGTGATTTGCATTTTTCTATTTTTAAAAATATCAAAAAAAAATAATCAGCAATTGTTGGTGTTGTTGTTATTTTTGATTTTATTATATATGTATATTTATATTAATTAAAGTACTTATAAAACATTTAAATATTATGTTTGATTGAGTGAATTTAATTAATTTGTTTTTTTTGAATAACAAATTTAATAAATATAATAATGTTATTTCAATTATTTAATAAAAAATGTGGTCCACTAAACACCGGCTATTTATTTCTAAATGTGATGATTGTTGTCATTTTATCAATGATTTTGTCGCAATTTTATAAAAGCTATTTTGAAAACAATCTCATTGTTATAAATGATTGTAAGTATACATACATGTATTAAATTACTTTAAATATAAATTTAATTAATTAACTTGTATTATTTAATTTGAAATTAAATTTTTACAATGTGATGGTATTTTATTATTATTATTTATTATGATTTTGTATTTGCCATTGAAATGCTTATAAATTGTTAGTTTTGCTTATTTTGTTGRTCACTATTTTTATTCACAAAATAGCGATATATTTTTGGACAATTTCTTCGATATGATTTATTTTTTATTTTTTGCAATAAATCTGGTTTATAAAATAAAAAGCTTTGCCTATAAAGCAATTTATTGTATAATATATTTTTGTTATTTACTAAAGTTTTTAAAGTATAAATAATATTATTGAATAAAAAGTTTAAAATAGATATAATATTTATTTACATTTCTCCAATGTTTATGATATTCTATCTATTTTCAAGCTTTTACTTAAATTAGTTTTTTATACTTAAATACATATGTTTAATACAACATATAATGAAATATTGCTATAAAATACTTGTGTAAATATTGTATTATAAATTACTGTATCTATAGAAATCATAAACTATTGTACAAAAAAAACAATAAACTTTTATTGTTAAATCATGATTAATATAGTATTTTTAATAATATTTATTTACAAATATATATTACATTAAATTAAAATTATATAATATGATTACTCTGTTTAATGTTAAAATACATAAGATATTAACAATATATGTATCACTTATTTTATTTTTTAGTCATATAAGTGTTCAAAATTATATCTTAATATTTATATTATTCTAGTTTTTATGATAAACGCCTTTAGATATCTCTTAAGTATAACATTTTTTAATAAAAATTACAAAAAATAAATAATATTGTAAAATAATGTTATAAATTATGTAAAAATTATAAATTGCAACGTGTTATAATATCTTAGCAAATTTTAAACAAATAATATTTATATATTTTAGAAATTTTAAATTATTAATATTTTGTTAAATTTATATAAAGAAAAAATATTAAATTTTATAGTAGAAAATAAATACTATAATAACTAGAAATAAGATTAAAAATGAAAATGCAATTCTGGCAGACATTAGATGCAATTTTTTTTGCTTACAAACCTATTGTATTGTAATTGTGATAATTTATGTACTCATAATTTACATTATAATTTATGTACTCATAATTTACATTATAATTTATAATAATATAACAACAAAAAATCAATAAAATATCAACACAAAAGTAAAAATAATTGAATAAATCATTGAATTATTTTTGACTGTTTTGTTGATGAATCACAATAATACAAAAACAAATGCTAATAATATAAAAGAGTAGAGTAGAGTAAAGAGAGAGAGAGAGAGAGAGAGAGAGAGAGAGAGAGAGAGAGATTGTTTTGAAGTATTTTATCACATTATTGACCAATGATTTTAAATGAGATGCTATTTCATAGTGAATTAATATCTTCACTATAAATAWWTATATAACTATTTTTTGTTATTATCTCTTTTAATATTTATATAAAAGCAATGCTAATAAATTGTAAACTCTGGTAATCAATAAAGAGGTCATATCGTAATATAGTATATAATGTATAAAACAATGTTTTACTGTGAATATGAAACAATGATAATGAAAACTACTGTCAATAATGTCCATTGAAATTGACAGTCAGTATATAAGAGACTGTCTTTAATAGAAAGATTGAGAACAACATCTCTTATCTAACAATAGATAAATGTTTTTTTGCAATTCATTTATTGACTCAATAGACGATTGATATTCAATGAATTAATTTATTTTTATAATTAGACACAATATCAACAATTTAATAATTACAATAAATATGAAATGATATTAACAATTTTTAATATTAATTTATAGGTATAAAATGTAAACTTCATATAATCTACTATAAAATTATTCAATGGAATGACTTATAAAAATAATTTTATTAAATAACAATATAAAAGTAACCAGTATCATCCGGTTTCATATTGAAGTYTTATTAATTAATTAGTTCCTTGACACTTTAAATAATTATTATAATATAAAAATATCATACATTCACTGTATTTTGTATATACAGTATAATATAATATTTATAAAGCTATAAAAATAAAATAATTTTCATAACTGTATTAATAAAACAATTCATATTAATTAATACGAGTCTTCCATCTATTGAATAACTGGCAGATAATTGTATTGGATTTTTAATATACAGTTTAAATATATTTATATATACTATATATTATATAGTATATCACTTTATTTAACAGTATTTACGATATATATATATATAAATATATTGATATATAAAGATTTCCTAAAAAAATAATTTATAATAAAGTTAAATAATGAAAAAAATCCAGAGATTGTTATCTATTAAAACATGTGACTTTTAAATAGATATTATCATAATATATTGTATTTACATTTTAAGGTTATATCAAATTTTTGTGTATATAATATATTGATCTATAATAAAATGCTTTGTCAATATTGATGATTATATATTATATGACACTTTATAATGACATGGTTTACATTTTATAGACATATAAAAAAATTTAAAAAGTGAGTCAAAATTTATGAGGGATTTACTGATTAACAATAACCTTCCCTTTCATCTGATTATATAAATATTTATATTATGTGTTGTTTAGTTTGTAAATTCTATAATTTGTATGATATAAAACTTTTTTTTTGTTATCATATATTTTTACATTACATTTATTATATTAGTCTCAAAGTTTTTAATTAATAATATTATAATATAAACAAAACAATATGAATAGTATTAAAATACACACGCATTTCTAAAATTTTAATCAGTTTATTATGCTTACTCTACATGTTTTTGTTTGTTGTATAAATAATTTTAGGATACCAGTGCACATTACTGTATCGATATTAGTAGAGTATTACTGTCCTTGTCTATTGATAGTCAATTGCTTAATAGTGTACTAATGTTATTAAACAGTACAATAAACTATTTTATAAATTGCTTAGTTTGCAAATTTTCAATGAAATATATAATGTAAAAATAAAATAACAATATTATTGATAAAAAAATGCTGTCCTTATTTATTCACAAAATAAGCATATTTTATGAAAACTACAGTATAGGTTACTATTGTTACAATTAAAATATTAGTCAATAGGTGTATTTCGCATTTAACATCTAGTTTAACATTAGTTTCCTCTACTGTAAAGTAATCAAATAACACAGAAGTTTTATTTTCAATATTAGATTTATTTGTTAGATATAACTTTGTTATACTGTTAAATTTATTTATTATTTTTTTAAATGTTTAATCTATTAAATACGATTAATTTTTAATTTAAAGTGCAATTAAGATATTATATAAGTTTAGACTTTAATTGGAAAATTTTAGTGTTATTATTGTATGTTTGAATAACATTTGTTATATCGTATTCATCATCTGTTGTAATCAAAACCTAAAAACTGATTTTTAATTTTGACATAACTTTTATTTTTTTTAATAATTAATATTATGTAAAATATTACAGTAGACAAAATAACAGTCAATAACCATCTATAAAAAAGTTTGAATAATAGTTTTAAACATATGTTGCTAAATATTTTATGTGGAATTTTTCTTATGAAAAAATATGATAAATAATTAATTTGGAATATTACCCTTGGATTTATTTTAAAATATTTTATTGTTAAAAATTTCCAATAAATGCTAATATATTAAACTAACTGTTTAAAAATATAGATACAGTAATATAAATATATAATTAATTAGAATATAGACGTTTTAATTTTTATCAACTCATGTGAGAGTTTAGAAATTTTTTATTATTTATATAATTTTTAAAACATATATTATTTTTAAAAAATCAAATATTGAATTTAATTATTATTTTTGACGTAACTTTTTTTACACTAATAAAGCCTTGAATTTAAAAGTCTATAAATACATTGGGAAAACTCTCAATTCGTGGAAAATAGTGTTTCAAACAATATATTTGATACAATTATTTTTAAAATACTATTAAAAACCGTTAATATTTATGATGCGGTGTTTTGTGATAATGAAAACGACAGTGTGTTTAACTATAAATATATTATTGTTTTTGAGCCTATTTTACACTTCTAATGGTAGGTTTGATTATATCAATAAATATTTTTTTTTCATATTATATTATTGACATATTGTATATGTTTTGATGGTATAGCCCATCACCACATGATATAATGATGTGTAAATGAAATTCATGTCACTTTTATAAGTGACCCAAATATTGATAAATTATTTTATTTGTTTACAAAAAAATAAATTGTTTTTAATGAAATTTTTAATTTAAGGAATTGAAAATTTCTTTTTTTTACTAATTCATAGCTCGTCCTTATCGACGACTCTGTGCGCACAGGGATTATGGTAACGGTGCCACAGTTTGCGTTTGCAATAAAAACTATTGCGATGACTTGAGACCAATCACCAGAACTCCCGTCGGAGTTATCAAAGTTTATGAAACGTCCAAAAGTGGCGATCGTTTCGCTGAATCGGAACTGCAGTTCATAAAAACTGCTTTCAATTTGACTGAACCTAACTCTTACTACACGAGCGATGTTCACATTAATATTAATAGAAGTCAAACATATCAGAAAATTATTGGTTTTGGCGGTGCTTTTACCGATAGCGCCGGTCTTAATATCCGAACCCTTTCTAATGATTTACAGAGACAAGTGATTAGTGACTACTTTGCCGACACTGGTATTGAATATAGTTTGGGTCGCATACCGATCGGTGGCAGCGACTTCTCGACCCATCCCTACACTTATGATGACGTGGAGGGAGACTTCGGTTTAGAGCACTTTGCACTAACTTTGGAGGATCTCGACTATAAGGTTAATACTTTTTATATAATATTAATATTTTTATTTATTACCATCTCTTTGATTAAATAGAAATTGTTATCTACTTATTTTATATAAACAATAAAATAAATTGAGGCATAAACTAGACATTAATCAAAAGTAATTGTATTATTAGTATATATTTTCTAAAATATGTTTGAATATTAGATACCTTATATAAAGTTGGCTCAAGAGTTAGCCTCTAATGAGATCAAACTGTATGGCAGTCCCTGGAGTTCACCCGCATGGATGAAAACCAACCATAAGATCAATAACGGGGGTTTCCTTATTGGCGAACCGGGAAATAAATACTACCAGACATTTGCTAACTATTTTATTAAGTAAGTCTAGAAATTGATTAATCCTTAAGAGTATAATTAAGTGTAAAGTATTAAATGCAAAACTAATTTAGTTATTATACGTTAGATAAGTTAAATATAAATTTAGAAATTTAAACATTTTATCTTTTAAAATATAAATAAAAAAATAGTTATAAAATATATAATTAATGCTTTCAATCAGTAATATTTATGCTAACATAATTTAAAGTAGTAATTACTATGATAATAATGTATAAAATTAAACACTTGAATGAAAATGTTGTTTTTAAAGGCTTATATTTTATGACTTTATTGTTAATATTATTAATATTGTTTAAACAAATTATTATTTATTTTAATGATAATTTTCAGGAAATACACAAATTTTTGTTACTTAAGCGTACTACAGTAGTATTGTACTTTAAATTAATAATTAATTTTATGGTATTTTACTATTAATTTTTTTCTACCATTTTATTAGATTATAATCCGTTAAAAATATATTACAGATTTTTGGACGCATACACTAAACGTAACGTTAGTTTATGGGGAATAACGGTAGAGAATGAACCAAACGCTGGCTATAATGACAAATATCTGTGGAATAGTTTGGGATTTTCACCCGAACTTCAAAGAGATTTTATTAAACAAGATTTGGGCCCAATTTTGGCCAAACATGGCTATGGAGTCGACAAACTGAAACTCATGATTAATGACGACCAGAGACCCACAGTTAGTCACTGGGCTCGAGTCATACTGTCAGACAAAAAAGCGGCCAAATATGTGTCAGGAAGTGCTTTCCATTGGTATGAGAGTACACCGGAAAATGTGGTACAATTGGATACCACTCACAATGAGTTCCCCGACTACTTCCTGTTGTCCTCCGAAGCCTGTGAAGAGTGGAAGGGCAAGACTGAGAAGGTGTCGCTCGGGAATTGGCATACATTTGATAGATATACTAATGATATTATTACTGTTAGTTATTCATAAGTTTTTATTGTATTAATAGATATAATAATTGGCATTTTTTTCATTAGGATCTCAATCATTGGACGGGTGGATGGACTGACTGGAACCTAGCACTTGATCTACAGGGAGGTCCTAATTGGGTGGGCAATTATGTAGATGCTCCCATTATAATCAATCGTACCAGCAATGAATACTATAAACAGCCATTTTTCTATGCCCTTGGTCATTTCAGTAAATTTTTGTCTCCCGACTCAGTGAGGATAGGCTCTGTCACTAAACCCGAAAGTGTGTCCGGAATTCAAGTGACATCCTTTAGAAGGACAGACAAATCTACGGCACTTGTAGTCTATAATCAAAACAACGAGTCGATCACACTATCGATAAATGACCCTAAGTTTGGTGTTGTGAACAGCATTATTAAAGCCAATTCACTTCAAACCTATTTATGGTTTGACTGATATAATATGTAAAATAGTTTTCCATTTTGTTATTTTTGTTGTTATAATGTTTTTTATAAAAATGTTTGACAAATTGTTATACTTGATTACTACTATAAATACAAAGTGTAGATAATAAAAAAATATATGTATAGAAAGCCACAAATATATTATATTTATAATAAACTTACACTTATTGTAACTTGTTTTGTAATTAGATTATTACTACTATTGTTACTAATTGTTACTATTTTGACAAAAAAAAATACTTTTAATTTTTAAGTTTAATAACACTTAAAGCTGTTGTGTTTATTCAAGCGACAATAGCATTAATTATAAATAAATAAAAATAAGTTATTATTTGAAAGTAAAAAATTACTATTATTTTATTTATTTCAATACACAAAACTTTCATTTATTGTTAAATTTATAAAAAACAGTATTTATATACAATAGAAAGATAAAAGCTTAATTTATTTATAATAATTTACAACAAGTATTATTATTATTATACTGTTAAGTATTTTTGTTGTTGTTAATGCATAATAATTATTTTTTTTGGTTTTATGCATTTTTTTTATTAATCTATATATAATATTATAATAAATTTTGATTATTAAAAATAACATTTAACCAGTGAATCAATTATATCTTACATATCTACATATAAAACCATAATAATAACAATTTGTGTTCCCATTAATCTAGTTATTTGAGCCAAACCTACATATTATTGAACACTTAATTAAAAAGCTTTTAAAATTAGATTCATATCTAATTAAATGCTCTCATTATAATTGAGTTCATTGAGCATAATATAATTTAGTTGCAAAATTTATTGCTTTTTTACATAATAAACTGTATTTCCCATATTTATTTTGACATTTTTTAAATAGTAAAAGTGTTTTATTTTCAAATATAATATATTAATTCAATAGGAAATAACAAACCTATTTATGAAAATTACATGAGATTTGTTTGTTGATATATTTATAAATAAAAAACTGTTTTTAATAGATTGCTTTGACAGGAATTACAATTATTTCAACACTTGATACTGTATTATGATAATCATTAATACAAACAATTTTTTATATAAATTTTGAATCAATACTTATTAATAATTTATTTTTTTGTTTGTTATTTCCAATATTCAAAATAAAACATTTTATTTGATAAAATTAAATAAACTTTATTTTATAATTTTATATAATTTATTCATTTTATTAAGACTTTGTATAATTATAATATTTTTTWWAAATTCAATAAACACAATTACCGGTAAATAAAAACAATACTATACTTCTATACATCAATATTTAATTCAATGTTTTCAATTTCACAATTATGTTTTTTTGSTCAAATAATTAGCTAATTTTAGAAATGCGTGCAAACTTTGTAATGAAAAATCAAAGTCAACGATGCATTCAAATAATTAATGCATTTATAATTTGTAATAATGTCATCATTTTATTAATCAAACAATGAGAAATTCAATTTAAAGACAAAATAGCAAATAGTCAATAGTTATTATGATTTATTAAATAAATACTATAGTATTTAAATTATTATTATAATTATATAAAATTGAAAACTTGAAACATACTTTCCTTTTTTATAAATTCAAATTTCAATCAGTGATGACATTTTGTTTCAGTAAATAATTGAGAAAAGTATGAAAAATTGTATTTTAATCAAATTATTAGATTTGTTTTAGACTTACTTTTTGACTTTTATCTTATACATCAAAATATTTATTTTGATAATCATATAGAAATCAAAACTAATATTATATTTGTTGCAATGATAGACAAATATCTAAAAATATTTCAATTATTATTTACTGTAAGTTTTATTACACTTATATCGTTAACATACCTAAGCAATGGACAGGAGTGTATATGTAACGCCAAATTTGTCGGCGAGTAYTGCGGTAATGAACTCAACGACAAGTCCACCGGAAACTGTAGTAATGAATTGATTTACTTTTGCGGCAAAAGTAATATGAGAAAGACTGCCTTTCCTGTTAGGACTTGTACTGAAAAAGGATATACTTGTGTGACCAAAGAAAATAAGGGTAACTCAACGTATTTTATATTAAATTTGCTTTCAATTCAATTATTATTTTTTTTAAWAAAAATTATCAGACAATCCATGCTATCAAAACTTATTCTGTAATTGTGGACCAAATAATCAGCGAAGGAAAAAATATTGCGGATCTGATCTCGTGGGACAGGGATGTAAACCTAATATTGTCTATAAGTGTCCAATGTTTAGAGGCAATAAGCTACAAGTTGAGGATGCCTGTCCCAATAGCTGTAAGGATGGCAAATGTGTCTAATTTTGCTATGATTTATCAATTTATTWAATAAATTCATACTTAAAATTTAAAATTATTACAGTATGTTAATCAAAAAATAATTTTGTGTAATTATTTTATAAACTAAATAAATTATTTGTTTGCAATTCAAATGTATATAAAATTTTTCAATAGACACTGCTATTATGTATATATTTATCTCCCATTGAATGTATGAAATAAAACATATTGACTAAGGATTTTTGAAATAGACTTAAGATATAAAATATAACATCAGTTYATAAAATATATTTAAAATATYAGTCGTTTTAAATCAATTACATAATGTAATTGACTTAAAACAACTGATATTTTTATAAATAGAGTAATATTTAATAAAAATTAGTATATTATGCTTAAGATATTAAAACTTTCAATGAAATTCATAACTATTATGTATTTAAAATTTATAAAAAATTTAATATAAATAGCAAACTACAGTACAAATGCGGAAATTAATGCCAAATAAATATWATAAACATGAGTCAATTATAATTATTAGACAAATATATAGATAATAAAATTGTGTTTTAGTAATAACATTAATAGCTTTTATTTTTAATAATTTTTTTATTATTTATAATTAAAAAATTGTTAAATATTAAATAATACTGGGATTTATAATATTTTAAAATTAATTCTCTAATACAATTAGTTRCTTTTTAAATTGAAGCTCAAATCTATTTATTATAATATTGCATCAATTAAAAATAATTTTTTACATATACATATTATATAAAATTAAATTAAAATCAAAATTAATATATTATATATTCAATATAAAGTACAGTAATGTCAAATGTATAAAACAAGTTCATTATTAAACACTTAATGTAAACTAATGTCATACACCCCGCGGATGATTAATGATTAGTCAATCATTGTTTATATTTATGAAAGGATTTATTTGAGACGACTTTCAATAACTAATTTTATATTTAGTGAAAATATAAAATTTATTTCACTCAATGAATCAATGAAAGAGTATAAATATATATATATATATATATATATATATATATATATATATATGAGAGAGAGAGAGAGAGAGAGAGAGAGAGAGAGAGAGAGAGAGAGAGAGAGAGAGAGTCAATGGGGCAAATCATTGCTTAAATAATTTTTTTGCTTAAATTATATCACAATAATCGTCTAAAATAGTTAATAAAGAAATATATAGTATAAAACAATACATTAATAAATAGGCCAATGGTTTGAACTATATTTCAGAAGTTTTTCGCAATTTAGTCTCACTTACTCACACTCATATAAACACTCACTCACTCACTCACTCACTCACTCACTCACTCACTCACTCACTCACTCACTCACTCACTCACTCACTCACTCACTCACTCACTCACTCACTCACTCACACACWCACACACTCACTCACTCACTCTGTTTTGGCAAATTATAGCTGAAATATACATTTATATAATTTATAAGTTAAGTGTATATTGTTTTTGTTCAATTATTTTTACTGTTAATTTCTTCATTGAGTGAATGTCTAAAAATATTTTGTCATTTAAATCTAGTATTATATTATAATAGTATTAAGCAAAACAAGAGTGACATAAGAAAAAGTGAATACAAAACAAAATTATATGTTTTGAATGACTGTTTACCACTAGAAACAAATCTATTTATAAATTACAAGCTTTTCCTATAAGTGTGTACTATATAAATGTGATTTTGATTTTAAAAACAATTGATTTTCTCTGTTAAATCATCTYATTTCAAGATATATCCACACATTTCATAAACATTATATATGCCTAACAATAGAGTAATAAAATAGTTTTAAATTATTTGTTTATTTAATTTGTATGCTTAACTGTATATCATTAAATTGAAATCAAAATATTTATTTAATATATATAAAAAAATCATTTCACTATTGTCTGGCCCACAAAAATTATTGATTTTTTATGGCAAAATAATTTAATTGTATTTACAGTTGACTGTTATTATTTGGTGTGTCTGTGATGTATTAAAATTTTTTTATCTAATTTATTGTGTTAAGTGTTTATTATAGTACATTGTTTACAATAAAATAATAATAAATATATTTTTATTAATACTATTTGTTAAAAGCTTTATAATTTATATATAAATACACAACATGTTGTTTAGTTTGTTATAAAACTACTGTTTAATTACCTATCTGTGCGTCCAATTCCTTATGACCCGAATTGTTATATAACTACTGCCACCACAAACTACTTGTCCGCACACATACACACATATCACAGCCCATATCCCAGAACTTGTATATGTATGACATGATCCTATTTTTTCACTGTTTTTATCATAAGATTTGCTTCTCATATTTATGATTATTATTATGATTATTACTATTACAACTAATACGTCCACTACTACCTAATACTACTCGTACTGATTATATAATATAATAAATGTGTTGTTGTGTTACTACTACTGGAAAGTGAAAAATTGCACTCATTTTGTGTTATCAGTATATAAAGGAAATAAATTTTTGATGCAGTTTTCACTTTCACTTTTTTCACACATATTTTCAAAAAAGTTTTTTATTTAAAAAATAATATTTTCGTCTTTAATTTGTTTGCACTCGAGATCGTGTGTATGTTGTCATCATATTTCTAAAAAAGTAAATATTTAATTATTATAAATTTATTTTTTATATAAATCAATATTTTATATGTCTTTATTTCAATATTAGATGTTCAACAGTTGATAGGTTTTTTATTTTGTTTTATTTTATTTTTTAGATAAAACTCATCGCAAACACACCTTATTTATAAAATTTAGTGAAAATGAAATTTGTAACAATAATCTTGACATTTGCTTTAGTTATACAATTGTATTTATGTCAACAACGATCAGGTATTATATAAATTTATTATTTTTCTAAATTTACATTTAAATAAATAGTTAAATAATTATCACATAGATTAATTTAAATAATAATTAAATTTTTTAACTAAGTTTTATTGATTAGATTGTATGCAATTAAATATAATAGATATATAACTAAGTATAAGATTATTAATAATTTATTAATAGTTTTGAAAAATGTTAGTGATATTTAAATCTGAAATCATTTTACAAAAATATTTGCATTTTTATTGATTACAGATTTTTATACATAAAAATGTTAATTACATTTTAAAAATCTATTTATAAATAAATGCAAAATGTTAGATATTACTTGTTATTAATTTATCAAYATTTTAAATATTAATATAATTAAACACTATTTAATAGCGCATTAACATAAAAATTTAGTTAAAAACTATTGCTATTTTAAAATAAACTTTCCGGACCATAATTTTTAAATTTGTAAATTACCACAAAAAACTCAAATTTGATTACTTAATTAAAAAAAATTTAGCAATTATTTATTTTTGTTTACCACTTGCAACCTATAATATAATATTTTTATTATTATTCTAGTGATATCTTCTCAATTAAAATATATTATAATATCATAAATATGCATATTTTATTAAATATTAATATTACTAATTAAAATTTGACTAAAAATGCAATAAATAAATACCGCGAAAGTGGAGCTTTTGATGATAAATAAAAATAATTACAATTTATTTTTATTTGTTTATTAGTTAATGTTAATTAATGATTGTATTTCTGACATTTCGTGAGTTTAATCATATTTTGACACCCAATGGCTAACTAAAAACAATGATAAATAAAAATTTTACCTTATTTTTGTTGATAGCAACTTAATTATTTGTTATTTTGATTTTTAATTTAATTTTATGTGTTATCATATTTACGATATTTTTAGTATAAGCTTATTTAATATTTGCTAAATTATTTTTTATTATATGTTAATGATATGGTTAACGTCAAAAATACATAAATATATAAATTTATATATAATTTAATATCATTAGTTTTTATATACTGTTTTTGTTGTTATTTTTCTAGTATTTAAGAGATAAGTCAAAACTAATTATAATCATAAAAATTTATGTTAAAAACATTTATTATTTGTTATAAAATTAGTATTTCTATTATATTATAATAGTTAATCATTTAATTGCAATAATATTTCTAAATAATTAAAGGTATGTACAAAATGCGAGGCGACTATCTAGACGTTCCCGTTCGGGCCAGTTATAAGATTATGGGTAATGATGAGGACGGCTTTCTCGAGGACGGCATAATTGTCAAGACTAAGGGCTCCGGATATATCGATCAAAGATATAAGAACCGGGATATACAAAGACCCAGTGCTTCAGATATTGTTTATGGAAGACCCGGTAATATATAGTTAATAAACATTGACTTAATTAAAAACTAACTAATTTTAATATTATTATAAAAACAATTTTTGCTCATTTCTAAATAAATAGTGACTATTTCTGATTAGCAAATAATAAACTAATGAATAAAATTTTTAGCCCTATTTATAACAGAAATAATTTATAAAACTCATTTATTTGGTGGTAAATAACTAATAGGAAAAATTACTCTCATTTACAATTTATTATATTTACAATTACTGTAAACATAAATTAGATGATCATTGAATTGAAACTAATAGTTTTGGTTCACTGACTGACTGTTTTTTTCATTGCAATTGGTTTTATACTTTTATATTTTTAACATTGCTTTTTATATAAATTATTAAAATTCATTGGCTTTTAATAACAATATATATTATACTCATTTTTATGTGTCATTAAATATAGAAATATCACTCTTTAATATTATATATACAGTATATGTAGTATAATAGTATATATCACTTTTATTTGCAACTTATTTAAAAAGATCATTAATCAAATTATTTTATTTTTATTATCATTTAAACAGTTTGGATACGAAATTAAAGTTTCAGATCATTGAAGTACACAATTAAGTGGTATTTTTGTTGCATTCACTTCACAACACATCTCATTTGTTTTGCTGAACAAAAGTTTTATATTTTAGTTGAAAATGTATTAACATTTATATTTAGTTTATAATGCTTT